AGGGGGGAGGGGGAGGGCGGGCTTTTGAGGTCCGCTCCAACTTTCACGTAGTATACCTTTTAAACATCTAAAGCTAAAACCACCAACAAATGGTGACTTTTCCTAAAATGTATTTGCCAACATTTTTGATACGATAATCTTGTCCACGAGCTTTGATGTTTCCATGGTAACCGATTTCTGACATACAGGTTTTGCTAAATTCACTGATTTCGGTTTATTCAACATAATTTTCCAGGTTGTCCTTATTTCTATTGTAGTTTTTCCATTTAATTTAATTTTATACATTTAATTTTATATAAACGTAGCTCTCTGAAAATTTGGTGGTCATACTCCAAGTAGTTTAATAGTTGCGTGCCTCAAAAGCCCCCTTCCCCCTCCTGTCCCAGTATATAAGCCAAAAAAAAGCCTGGTCTGAATAGGGTTAAAATTATTCTAAGCTGCCGGCAGTAAAATTCTTCTTTTTTTGGGGGGGGATTCGCTGTGAAATCCGCTTTTTAGGCTTTTTAGGGCAGTCATTAAAAAAAAAATTAACGCGAAATTTCCAGCACTAAACTTTCTTTTGATAATACTTTGAAATTCTCTTCTAACAGCGATTGTTCTACTTGATCTTTTCTACAGAGCCGAAAGAAGCAGGACTGCAAAACGAGCTTCACTTAGAAGTACAAAAATTGACAAAGTTAACAAATGGCATCATATTTGTGTTTATCGAGATAGCATTTATGGTGAAACACATATTTATAGAGATGGGTTTAACCCCTTCCCAGGGCCAAATGACGCATTGATCGAACCGAATAGAGTTCCCCAGGCCAATGGAGAGCTTCAGTTGGGAGGATTCGGGAGACAAACTTTCCCAGGGGCGATAACAAACCTCAATATCTGGGATAGAAAATTAACGGATAATGAAATCGCTAAAATGGCCCTGTCTTGTGATGCTGGTAATTCAGGAAACGTGAAAAATTGGGGTGACATCAGTACTGAGCTGAACCTTGATCATTACATTGTTAAGAAATCTAGTTGTATTACTGAGCAATAAGTTTATGTCAATGAATGCAATACTCCGTAGCATATAATGTGAAGTTATTAAAATTGCATGTCAATGCAACAATTAATATCTATTGCCTGATGAAGTATTGCTCTGGGGTGCGATAAAAGGAATCAATGTAATCTATACATAAAAAGAATAACAATTGGAATTAACATTGGATTCCACGGACGGAGTGGCTCTTTCTCCACTGCTTTCCAATTAAAATTTAGAAGCTTATTTTTACGGAGGGAGGAAAACCGAAGAAAAACCCCTTAAAGCACAGGCGATAACCAACAAACATTTCTAATCACATTCGACAACACATTCAATTCACATTCAACCCAGATCGCATCGGTGAGAGCGCTCTCATCACTACGGCACCCGTGCTTCCCTATTAACCCCAACCTTCATCACCTTTATTCGCAGACCCTTCTTTTCGATCTTTTAACTAACTTCAACCCTACTTCTTTATTTGGATATAAAGTTTCCTTGTGTAAAATCACGGCAAATTGAATAAGATATATTTGATATAATTCATTATATCAATGTATTTATCAAGCGCTTAGCAAAGTATCCCATCCAAACTACTAGGCTTTGTTACATCGATCGATTCATGATTTATATTGTGGAAAGACAGAGGAGGGTGATCAAGTGGCACGTGACCTAATCGACCAATCACAATCATGATCACAGGCAACAACAATTATCAAAAGAATTTCATAGTCGTCGTCAAGAATCATTAATTTTCCCTCATATTACTCATCATAACCTCATATTTTTTAACTGTCGCATGGATTAATAGCAGTAATTCCTGTACACCAAGTCTCGTTTCCAGATAAGAAATATTTCTATGTAAATTTATAACATTAAGATGGCCATCGCTTTCACACGCTGACACTGAAGGTTGAAATATCGTTCATCATTATCGCTTGTCATCTGGTTTTACGATGGATAACATGTCTGTATTTATAAATATTCTAAAGCTTTAATTCCTAATGGTCAAAAATATCGGGGTGAACCCCGGTGAACCTCTTACCGTTTCCGAGTTATTCTGAATGTTGTGCATGGTACTATGTCACCTATCAAGCATTTCTTTTCATGCTTCCTGTCAATACATTAAAATCAACAGTTAAAACCAGACGTAGTCTTTGGCTGTATGAAACCAAAATCCAGACTTGCCCTCCAATGAATCCTCCTTAAAGGTTCTCAGTTGCGCTCATTCCAATTATAAGCTTTAGTATCAAGACATTTTTTTATATTTCTTGCCCGGCCCCTCTCAATACATTACTATCGACAGTTAAGATCACACGTAGTCTTTGTCAAGATGGCGGGAATCACCCGTGTAACGCTACCATCCTTTCACATGAAAACACGGCACAACTAAATCGTTTCAGATAGGAAATGAAATCCTAATTTTGTTATTGTTTTATTTTATTGATTTCTTATTCATTCAATTGGAAAATTTATCGGCAGAATACTGAGGGATTTGTCAGAATCTGAGACTTGTCATCGACCCCGGCTCACAAGTCGACGTTGTTATTATGCGTTACTTTGTGTGCTGTTACTTTCTACATGTGCATTTTCAATAATCAAAACTTTCCTGTTTGAGCCAGTGGAAATATAAGGGAAAATATAAGTATAATAGAAACTAAACTATTAAATAATATTAAATTTACAATGCAAAGTTTAACAATTTATCAACCTTTAAAAGACTTTAGACTTCAATATTGACCCTGAAAAAATAAGAACGCTTTACAATTATTACAAACAAAAAGTTTCAATGATAAGAACCTAAGCTTGA